TTCATACCCCCTGCCACCAGATAAAGGGCACTATGAGGCCCCTAACCGTTATGCAGTCTCCGTGGTGTAGTGGTAAGACACTCGCCTGGCGTTCCGCGAGCGCTATGTCATGGGTTCGTATCCTGGCCGGGGAGGATTTACTGGGCGCAATTCCTTCACTGTAGCCTCTGTTTAACGCAACAGTAAAATGTGTACTTGGATGAAAAAACGATTCTTCGCGGCAGGGGATCGTATTCCAGGGACCATAGGATTAAGGACTTGCCCGAAACGCTACGCGTACTAGTGGCTGTACAAGAATGTAACAACTCTTGTATATATCTCAAAAAAAAAAAAAACAGCAGATGAATGGCCCAGCCCGTCCGCTGAAGTGTAGGATTACTCTTAGATAGTTATGGACAGATTATTTATATTGTAAATATAATTTCAAAAGGGATTTGAATTCCAGGCTTTTCCAGCGAGAGGTGGAGTACTTATCCACTCTGCCAAGGGATCGCTCATGAACAATATGATCGATGAAGATGAAGATTAAGCCACCCAAGAGGTGGCACGGGCATGAATAGCCCGTAAGTTATGGCCCTTTTGAGCCATTACCAGTATCAAAAGATGATACTGGAGATCTGTGGACATATAGATAGGAGCTGCCTCGTATGGGCCAAAAGGCCTTCTGCAGTTGACTTTGTTCTTATGAGTCCCACGATCAACAGTGGTGCGCTGGCGATAAAATTCCGTAGAAATTGCGTCTTCTTAAAATAGGAACGAACATTCCAAACCACCACAGTATTCTCAGGATGGGACGCCATCATCCCTGAAATACAACTGACTTTCTGATCACCTGTGCACAGACGTCTCCAAAGGAGGAACCACCAGAACAATTCATAAAACCCTCATACAAAGTAAGTAAAATGTGTGGTATCAATGACAGCCAGTCCGAAGGCTGTTAAGTTAGTTTAGTTCATTTATTATGCACCCTATACCCATCATGTGGTGGTAGTGGAAAGGGTTACAGAGGCACATAATGGGCTCAGGGACTGAACCCCACAATTCATTTAGCTAAGCAACTTACAATCTTGATGAGCTAGTTACAAAATTCAGTATAAGTCGTCACATCAACAATGGGTTCGAGATCGACCTCAAGTACAGGTTCTAAATTAAGCAACTGACATATGTCAGTACAACCACGTACAAAACTCAGGCAAATCATAACATAGAACGAAAAGGCAATGTAAAGGATCTGGGTGTACTCATGTCGGAAGACCTTACCTTTAAAGAACACGATAAAGTAGCCGTCACAACTGCAAGAAAAATGACAGGTTGGATAACAAGAACTTTTCACACTAGAGATGCTATACCGATGATGATACTTTTCAAAACGCTTGTGCTCTCTAGAGTGGAGTACTGCTGCACAATGACAGCACCTTTCAAAGCTGGAGAAATTACTGACCTGGAGAGCGTGCAGAGATCCTTTACTGCTAGAATCCACTCAGTAAAACATCTAAACTATTGGGACCGACTAAAGAGCCTAAAACTGTACTCCCTTGAGCGCAGGCGGGAGAGGTACATAATAATTTACACGTGGAAAATATTAGAGGGGCTGGTCCCAAACCTGCACACAGAAATAACATCACATGAGACCAGAAGACATGGCAGGATGTGCAGAATACCTCCGTTAAAGAGCAGAGGTGCAACAGGTACTCTGAGAGAGAACTCTATCAACATCAGAGGCCCGAGACTGTTCAACACGCTTCCACTACACATAAGGGGCATAACTGGCCGACCCCTCACAGTGTTCAAGAGAGAACTATCAACATCAGAGGCCCGAGACTGTTCAACACGCTTCCACTACACATAAGGGGCATAACTGGCCGACCCCTCACAGTGTTCAAGAGAGAACTATCAACATCAGAGGTCCGAGACTGTTCAACACGCTTCCACTACACATAAGGGGCATAACTGGCCGACCCCTCACAGTGTTCAAGAGAGAACTGGATAAGCACCTCCAAAGGATACCTGATCAACCAGGCTGTGACTCGTACGTCAGGCTGCGAGCAGCCGCGTCCAACAGCCTGGTTGATCAGTCCGGCAACCAGGAGGCCTGGTCGACGACCGGGTCGCGGGGACGCTAAGCCCCGGAAGCACCTCAAGGTAACCTCAAGGTATGTGGAGAGCTAGTGTCACAATTGATATGTTTGTCCTGCACACCGCCCCCCATCCAGTGGGCAGCGGTGGATAGGTTACAATCACTCAGTTACTACCTACAGTTAGCAAACTGGGGATATTTGGCTAAAATTTCTGGTAGCAGATCATTTTGAATGAAATATTTACACATTGTTGGAACATTGGTTATAGAATTGTCTCTAAATTCACGTATCTTTACGTTGATCAATGCTTCTCTCTGCCTGACGGAAGCGGAGATCGGCTCATGAACTCTCTTGACGGCGCCTACGACTAGTGGGTGCTTCACTTGGCCTCATGTTCTACCGGTATCACAATCCCGCCGAGCGGACAGCACGCTGGACTTGTGATCCTGAGGTCCTGGGTTCGATCCCAGGCGCCGGCGAGAAACAATGGGCAGAGTTTCTTTCACCCTATGCCCCTGTTACCCAGCAGTAAAATAGGTACCTGGGTACCTAGTCAGCTGTCACGGGCTGCTTTCTGGGGGTGGAGGCCTGGTCGAGGACCGGGCCGCGGGGACACTAAAAAAAAAGCCCCGAAATCATCTCAAGATAACCTCAAGATAGATCCCCTGGGAAAGCGCCTGGGGGACCAGACGACCATCAGGGCTATCTGATGGAGCAGAACCTCCTGATTCTGGGGAGAACCTGGATCTCAGACGCGCTTCAATCGACTGAGCTACGACATGGTCAAAAGAATTGCAACCGGGAAATCAATTTGACCTACCATGGATCCTGCAGTCTCTCCGAGACACAAACCAGTTTTTTTTAGCTTATTGGCAAAGTTCGGATGCATGGGGGAATTGTGTAAAAACCTAGTTTGTGTCTCGAAGAGGCTGCAGGATCCGTGGTAGGTCAAGTTGATTTCCCGATTGCAATTCTTTTGACCATGTTGTAGCTCAGTCGATTAAGGCGCGTCTGGGATCCTCTTGGACGTAGGTTCGAACCCTCGTGGATTTGTTCATTTGATGCATCACGCTATTGTGATTTCTGTGTGTAAGGGTTAGCATGTTTAGGGTTAATAACCCTGTGGGTGAAAAAGCATCTCCTGTTCTCAGTCCTACACTGTGGCTTGTTGAACTTGAAACCGTTGCTACTTGTTTGTATAACATCTGACCTTTTGAAGACATTTTCTGGACCAACATCCTCCAAATTGTTCAGTATTTTACAAATTTCTATGAGATCCGCCCTGTCATGCCTGGATTGTAGTGTTGTTTGCCCTGTGTCCTCAACCGTCCGTGAGTTGACTTAGCTCTGGAATGATTTTTGTTGCCCGGTGTTGCACTTTCTCCAGAGCATCTCTGTCCTTCTGAAAATGAGGTCTCCTCATCTTCATAGTTATTTATTAAGCACTTCATGTACCGATCGTGCGGATGTTAGTGGACTCCATACATATCTCGTGGGTGGTAGTGGACCCCATACCCATCCCGTGGGTGGTAGTGGACCCCATACCCATCCCGTGGGTGGTAGTGGACCCCATACCCATCCCGTGGGTGGTAGTGGACCCCATACCCATCCCGTGGGTGTGGACCCCATACCCATCCCGTGGGTGGTAGTGGACCCCATACCCATCCCGTGGGTGTGGACCCCATATCCATCCCGTGGGTGGTAGTAGACTCCATACATATCTCGTGGGTGGTAGTGGACCCCATATCCATCCCGTGGGTGGTAGTGGACTCCATACATATCTCGTGGGTGGTAGTGGACCCCATACCCATCCCGTGGGTGGTAGTGGACTCCATACCCATCCCGTGGGTGGTAGTGGACCCCATACCCATCCCGTGGGTGGTAGTGGACCCCATACCCATCCCGTGGGTGGTAGTGGACCCCATACCCATCCCGTGGGTGGTAGTGGACCCCATACCCATCCCGTGGGTGGTAGTGGACCCCATACCCATCCCGTGGGTGGTAGTGGACCCCATACCCATCCCGTGGGTGGTAGTGGACCCCATACCCATCCCGTGGGTGGTAGTGGACCCCATACCCATCCCGTGGGTGGTAGTGGACCCCATACCCATCCCGTGGGTGGTAGTGGACCCCATACCCCATCCCGTGGGTGGTAGTGGACCCCATACCCATCCCGTGGGTGGTAGTGGACCCCATACCCATCCCGTGGGTGGTAGTGGAACCCATACCCATCCCGTGGGTGGTAGTGGACTCCATACCCCTTCCGTGGGTGGTAGTGGACCCCATACCCATCCCGTGGGTGGTAGTGGACCCCATACCCATCCCGTGGGTGGTAGTGGACCCCATACCCATCCCGTGGGTGGTAGTGGACCCCATACCCATCCCGTGGGTGGTAGTGGACCCCATACCCATCCCGTGGGTGGTAGTGGACCCCATACCCATCCCGTGGGTGGTAGTGGACCCCATACCCATCCCGTGGGTATTAGTAGTAATCGTAAAGATTAATCAGACGCGCATATAAAGGGCTATCAATTAACGACTTTTAATTATAAATGTTTGAACAATATTTAGGAAATTTATATAAAAACTAAACAAATTACACCACATAATTTGACACATAAATGTTTGTTAGTAAGCCAAAAAATAAATAATATATATAAGAAAGAGGGAATTAAGAGTGGAAGTGTTATTGCCTATCTTATTATTATTATAATATGAATTTATATATGAATTATTTTATTGTAATATTTTTTTATGAATTACTATATATGAATGATGAGAAACGCTTTGCGTAATAGTGGCTTTAGGCATTGTATGTACTAGCTCTATCTATAAATCTGTCAATTTTTGTAAAATCTCTTGTATGTATGTACAAGAAATAAACATTTATTTATTTATTTATTAGAAGAGGGTTCCGGGGGTGGTTGAATGCGCCTCACACCAGCTGATGGTGAACGTCAACACTGGAGGAGGCGAGGCTGACTGTACCAGGCCAAGGTGCGTCATTATTTCCCTTCTCTCACCACACCTGCAGCCCATACTAGGCATTATACCAGCTGGGTTCATGGACCATTTCGCGTTTTGTCAGGTCAGTGGCCAATGCGATCAATTATATACACTATATATATAAGTTTTGTTATTCTAAGCGTAGTAGTTTTTACTTCTATATACGATTTTCTTGTTCTGGAGGCTCGTCCTTGTCACAGTCTGATTGGAATGTTATAACTCTTTGTGTGTTGTATTGTTGTGACTTATATTTCACACTTTTAAGGCAGTAAGGAAGCACCGTTCTTAAGTCTGTAAAGGGATAGCATCACTAAGAAACTAGACAAGGCAGTGCGGATTGTTTTTTGTGTCCAAAAAGATCCTTGAGTGCAACCATATTATGGCCGTGTGACGCCATACACCTCAGAGTTTATAGTTTTGTATAATCATACTGGCTTAGAACTTTCTCTTGATAATTATAAAAGTCACAACATAAGAATTAAGGAAATGGAAGAAGAACTACTGGCCCATACAAGACAGCTATTTATATTCACCCAAATGCATAAAATAGAACACGAAACAATGGAAATAAATTTGATAAGTTTAGATTTAGCAATCCCCGTGGTGTAATGGTAAGACACTCGTGTGCGATTACCGCATAACGCGGAGATTGTTTATCACCCACTTCATACACTTCACCTGATCTTTCAGGCATCCCTGTGTACAGGAATCGTAGCAGACGTGTGGAAACAGGCTAACATAGTTCCAATCTACAAAAGTGGCAGCAGGGAAGACCCCCTCAATTATAGACCTGTATCATTGACAAGTGTAATAGTGAAAGTATTGGAAAAACTAATCAAAACTAAATGGGTAGAACACCTGGAGAGAAATGATATAATATCAGACAGACAGTATGGTTTTCGATCTGGAAGATCCTGTGTATCGAATTTACTCAGTTTCTATGATCGAGCCACAGAGATATTACAGGAAAGAGATGGTTGGGTTGACTGCATCTATCTGGACCTAAAAAAGGCTTTCGACAGAGTTCCACATAAGAGGTTGTTCTGGAAACTGGAAAATATTGGAGGGGTGACAGGTAAGCTTCTGCCATGGATGAAAAATTTTCTGACTGATAGAAAAATGAAGGCAGTAATCAGAGGCAATGTATCGGACTGGAGAAATGTCACAAGTGGAGTACCACAGGGTTCAGTTCTTGCACCAGTGATGTTTATTGTCTACATAAATGATATACCAGTTGGTATACAGAATTATATGAACATGTTTGCTGATGATGCTAAGATAATAAGAAGGATAAGAAACTTAGATGATTGTCATGCCCTTCAAGAAGACCTGGACAAAATAAGTACATGGAGAGCTACTTGGCAAATGGAATTTAATGTTAATAAATGCCATGTTATGGAATGTGGAATAGGAGAACATAGACCCCACACAACCTATATATTATGTGAGAAATCTTTAAAGAATTCTGATAAAGAAAGAGATCTAGGGGTGGTTCTAGATAGAAAACTATCACCTGAGGACCACATAAAGAATATTGTGCAAGGAGCCTATGCTATGCTTTCTAACTTCAGAATTGCATTTAAATACATGGATGGCGATATACTAAAGAAATTGTTCATGACTTTTGTTAGGCCAAAGCTAGAATATGCAGCTGTTGTGTGGTGCCCATATCTTAAGAAGCACATCAACAAACTGGAAAAGGTGCAAAGACATGCTAGTAAGTGGCTCCCAGAACTGAAGGGTAAGAGCTACGAGGAAAGGTTAGAAGCATTAAACATGCCAAAACTAGAAGACAGAAGAAAAAGAGGTGATATGATCACTACATACAAAATAGTAACAGGAATTGATAAAATCGACAGGGAAGATTTCCTGAGACCTGGCACTTCAAGAACAAGAGGTCATAGATTTAAACTAGCTAAACACAGATGCCGAAGAAATATAAGAAAATTCACCTTCGCAAACAGAGTGGTAGACGGTTGGAACAAGTTAAGTGAGAAGGTGGTGGAGGCCAAGACCGTCAGTAGTTTCAAAGCGTTATATGACAAAGAGTGCTGGGAAGACGGGACACCACGAGCGTAACTCTCATCCTGTAACTACACTTAGGTAACTACACTTAGGTAACTACACTTAGGTAACTACCCATTGGGTTATAAACCCATTAAGCCTACCTTCCAAAACCATAAAGGGAAAATGTTGTTACACTTTAAAATCTTGCTGGATAAAATCATCACAAAAAATGGGGATACCTTTGACAAGCTGCTGGCTTTCTATCCTCATCACGGCCACTAAAGAGATGGTGGCCCCTTGGGTAAATTCAGGTAAATTTGATAAATTTGTTTATGGAATACTGTACTTCACAATAAAGACATTTAACTACCCAAAAGAAAAATCTACACTATATTTGATATGTACATATGTACAGTATTTATATAATGTATGCATGTATGTATAGTGTGTATTTATTTAAAATGTTTGTATTTGTGAATCATTACTGTAATAATATCTATGTTTGCAGGGATAGAAATATAAAATGAATGGCAGTAGCACACAAACTTTTGCACAGAGCGGTGCGCTATTAAGAGACAGAAGACAGAAAACCTTCAAAATCATCGTCATAGGTGACAGCAGTGTAGGAAAGACATGTCTGACGTTTAGGTAAGTTATTGGCTAGTGCAAAGTTTCACTTAATTAGGAGGGGACAAGATAAAGCAAACCTTAATTATAACTTTTGGAGCTTTATTACATAGAGAAAAGGGTGATGCTCTACTAAATGCAGTGTTTTCTGGGAGGACTTCCTTGATGGCTCCCTATTGCTTATTATCTGGATAGTTCCACACATCTCATATGACAGTAGGGCATTAAAATCATATGACATGACATATGACATAAAATCATATGACAGGACATATGACATAAAATCATATCAGGATATCATATGACAGCAAGGCTGTCATATGTATACTGAAGCATACTGAAAACCAGACCAAAACCAGGTCTTCTCACAGAGGTGGAAGGAGCAGGGCTTACATTACTCACTGAGAAAACAGCCATCAGAAAGATAGAGCAAACAAAACAGACAACAGCAAGGTGAAGCTCAACACCTTGGTAAACAAGGCATTCAATAGTTCAGGTGTTCATCTGCTAGTTACCCATATGACCTCCACCACCAGGAAGGCAGCACTGGGAGCTCCTAGACAAACCAAAGTAACCCATGTCACCTCTCTGATGCTGCAGTGGTCCTCGGTGATTCGAAGGACAGAGAGAACAGTGGTTCTAGTGTTCCCTTTGTCCTTCGGGTCCTGTCTTTTTCCAGATGTGCATTGGTCATCCTTTGGACCATGTCTTGTTGGGGCCATTTGCTTTTGTTTATTCCAGTTCAGGTATTTGCTTCACAAGCATACCTTTCTATGCCTCATTTGTGTGGACTTTGAGTCACTGTTCACCTCAAGTTGCATGGGTTTTGGCTTAACTTCCCTAGGCACTTTCAGGTGTTGCCAGGTAACTCTGTCAGGGCTCCTGTCTTTGGTAGGTTCAGGCATCTGTTTCCAAGAGTGCTGGTCTCCAGTGGATGGTGCCTTGTCCTGGGTAGTGTGTGGTCTGTGACTTGTCTGTGAGTCTCTGGGTTTGAGGGCTGTCAGGGTCTACTTTGTTTGGGGTTTACAGTAATTCACATGCTTGTTTTACAATGTGATGTTTATGCCTTTCACAGCTGCACTTGTCCCTTAAGCTGCATTAGTGTGTGTTCTCAGTAAACAGCTCCTGCTTCTGGTGTCCCTGCTTAGTTTTCACCTAATCCTTGATGTGATTCGGGATGAACTGACCTGCCGAATCCATACTTGCTATGTATACATTTGTGGGATGCATCTTGGTTTTGTTTCATGCTGGCTGCCTTGTGAAATTGTTTAAATTCCTTATAGCTTCGCTTGCTTATGTTTGCCATTGCTTGTGTATTTTGTCCTGGGCCATGCTCTTTTATGCCAGAGTTCCCTATTTTTGTGTATTGTTGTTAATCCACACTATATTTACAGGAATTATAGCATTTCATAAATACTAACACTAACATAGTTTAATTTCAGGTAATATTATTGCAATATTATTTAAAAAAAAAAAAACTTTTGTATTCCCAGGCTGTTGTTGAGGAAGTTGTCAGCCTTTTTCGATATGGTAAGCCTCTATCTTTGTTGTGGTAGCTGTAGGTCTTTATTCTTATGGTGGGCCTCTACACATGTGGTATGAGTAGTGGTGATGTTTGTGGGGTGTTTGCTGTCGATACAAGGTGGCCTCCACTTGCAGATGTTTTCCCACTGCAGTGTCGTAGTGATGGGCTGGTTGTCCCAGAGTTGGTTATGCTTCCTTGGCTGGTGCTTTGAGCCATTTGATTTTTGCCCCCTCCCCCTCCCCCCCCCCCCCAAAAAAAAGGATGATTCAAAAATGGGTATCCCAGATAGGTGGCTTCTTTGTTATTTGTTCCCTGGCCCAAGTTGTAGTGTGGCTGAGCTGATTCTTCTTCTTCCTCCAAACTGGTTTATGACCCCAGTGGCCTGGTTGGTGGGTTTGGGATTCCATCTCTGGGGGCTACCCTCTTCCTTGCCGGTAGTATAAGCTGGCATTTTCCTATCTGGGGTACGTTGCCTTTGGTTATGTGGGGATGGGTGGAAAGTGTGTGTTCACATAAGGACAGGGACAGAAGGATGTCTCCTTCACAGGAGACATCCTTCTCTCAGGCTTCTGGCATGTATCCTGGCCCTGCTCTGAGGTATTTGCTTTTTGGTGGGGCTTCTGGGACCAAGGGTGGGGAAGGGGGGGGGGAAACCAAGGAAGTGTGGGGAAGGGGGAGTGTTAAACACTATAAAAAAAATAACATTCTGCATGGGGATCGTTTATATCCTCCTTTGATGTTTGAGCTTGTACTTCTGCTATTCCTCTTTGTACTCGCCTATTTGTGCCTGCAGGATCGAGCATCGGTTCATGGATCCTGGTTTTCTTTGTAATTACTTAAGTGTTATTACTAAAGTGTAGTTACAGGATGAAAGCTACGCTCGTGATGTCCTGTCTCCCCAGCACTCTTTGTCATATAACGCTTTGAAATTACTGTACAGTATTGACAGTTTTGGCCTCCACCACCTTCTCACCTAACTTGTTCCAACCGTCTACCACTCTGTTTACAAAAGTTAATTTTCTTATGTTTCTCCGGCAACTTTGTTTCATTAGTTTAAATCTATGTCCTCTGTTCTTGTAGTCCCAGGTCTCGGGAATTCTTCCCTATCAGTTTTATCAATTCCTGTTATGACGTCGTGTCCTTTAATGACGTTCCTGTCATTCCTGATGTCGTGTGACGTCATGCTTGTTTGCACAACAGTCGAGTAGCTCCAGCTCCAGATTCTTGTGCTGTGCCTTGGTTCAGTACTCCTCTTACGGTGGTATGCAAGCTGGGAGTGATATTCTTAGGTACTCGAGCTGCATGCGCTTAGAGTTCCCTTCCCTAAGTGCCCTGTATGCTGTATGTACTGCCCTAGGGGCTTTGGGTTCTCTTAAACAAGTCACCTTGGGTCTACCTCTGTTGGTCTTTTGCTGCTTGGCAATTGACTGCCCCGAGTGTTTTGGGAGGCTTTTGCCTTTGTTTACCTTGGGGTAAGTGTTAGTTTTTACACTGGTAGGGGCACAGGGTACTGCGTAGCTAGTTTTCACCTATAACAGCGGCCGGTTCTGTTCCCTCTAGGTACCCGTGTTTTTCTGCCTTGTTGGTCATCGTGGTGGGTTGTTCTTTTGATGCAGTCTCCTTCTTCTCGGGTGTTGTTTGGGTCTGCTGCTTCCTGAGGGGTCCTAGGGTTCCTGGAATTTTTGATTGTGTGTCGAGAACGAACCCGACTGTACTATCGGGACTAATTATTTTGTATTATAATAAATACAAAAATATATGGATAACTGCATAACAATTTCATATAATTTCCAAAAACACACAGCAATTGAAAAGTAAATTATAGGGCAATTTCACATTCTTCACCTGTGGTTGTGAAGTACAGTACAGTACTGTATTTCAAAACTAATGTGCCATTTTTTCAATGTCCAAATACCTACATAAATAACCCTCTTTAGAAAATATTTCACATATAAACTGCAGCAAAACTAAATGAAAATTTTGCAGCTGTTCACAGAACTTGTTTTAAATTCCAAATAAGCTATCAAGTGCAAAGTGAATAATTAATGAGATGGCTAGCATCCCGTCTTGTAACATCACAATTGTCACCGGTCCTAACTTGACCTGTTGCAAATGTGATGTTATTATAATAATAATAATAATAATAATAATAATAATAATAATAATAATAATAGTAATAATAATACAGTAATAATAATAATAATAATAATAATTTATTTGCTAGAAGGTACAATGGGTTGGTGTGATTACACAAGATTGGTATTTTTACATTCATGCAAAGCCACTAACATGCATGGCGTTTCGGGCAGCAGATACCACTTGTATGTTCAGAGTAAGAATAAAGCTCTACCAAACATGGGCAAATTGGAGAGCAGGAAATAAGGAAGAAAATGTTGCATTAAGGTATAAATATAATAACAGAAAGCAAATGATACAGGTCCTTTACAACAGCCTGTGGTATTTGGCATGATAATGGAATTGCATGATATTTGCTGCTGTCTATAGTTTTTATATTCAGTGACGAATGGTGGCACTTAAGGGCACTACCCTAGATAATATCGTTTGGTGCTCAACCATTAGGTATGAGAGAAATAATCCCCCTTATCCTCCATAAATCATTTCTCTTCAGATTTTGTGGGGGTCGCTTTCCTGAAAGAACTGAAGCCACAATAGGAGTTGATTTCAGGGAGAAAAAGGTTATAATTGACCATGAAGAGATTGTGGTAAGTACTTGAGGAGCAGATATGGCTCCATTTCATTTCACAAATGATGTAACATCAATTGAATGGTTTTCTGAAAGGTACTGCATATATTTCTATTTCTCTAGGCTAACATTACTGCTTGAACTGCAGATATGAATATAAAGCACAGCATACACCAGGTTTATATTTACATAAAATGTCCTGTGATGAAGACAGGTTTAGCAGTAGAATTCAAGTACTGTAATTGTAAATATAGACATTCTAATTACTACATGTCTGAAGATCAAGAAAGCATTTATGGTATATTGTATCTTAATATGTCATCACATTATCCATGCATTCTTTTATCTGGCCAAATAAACTATGGAAAAGAAAAGATAATTCAGTACTTTCAAAGTACTGTATTCAGTATGAATAACTGGTGTGAACATCTTGGTTCTTTTAATCTTATTGTGCACACGTTGAAGACAAACTACCATAATTTAATTTGTGCAAGTATTGGTGTAACTGTTCCGTGGCATTGGGTTCAAAATGTGGGCATGTAGGTCTATCATATTTATATTGTTAGCCAGTGTGAGCATAACTGGGCATTCTTTATAAATATTGAGTTTAAATAACAATAAATATACTGTTAATATAGGGTGGAATGAGAGAACACATAAAGACCATATGTTTATTCTAAACAAAAAGCCATATTTACCGGTATAAATGCTAGGTATCAACATATAGTAAAACAAAAAGTAATTGAAAACAAACAACGATCTTGAATGCTAATATGAACCTAACCTAGGTAATAGTTGAATACTACAAATATACAGTACAGTAACATGTACATTTAATGTTTCTTAATGTGGGATAGCAGTCTGTATGTACCTTTATCATTAAAGTAACTTATTATACCTAATCTTCAAAGTATATTTCCAAAGTGTTTATATACATATCCTGTGTACATGAATTTGAACAGATGCTATATCTATGTAATTTTGAACAGTTGCAGCTGTGGGATACTGCTGGACAGGAGAGATTTAGGCGGTCAATGGTTCAACACTACTACCGTAATGTCAACGCTGTTGTCTTTGTATATGATGTCACCAGAATGTCTTCGTTTCAGGTTAGGATTTTATTTAGACTTTTTAGACTTAAATGAATTTTACCATGCGCAGAAATGTTTTAATTTGATTATTTGTAGTTTGTATGTGAACTTTATCTTTGCATACATGCACTGAAGCATTTATGGATAAGATAAAGACTTCGTGTAACACAGTTATTTGCACAGTCGGCTCACGACTAAATGGTTCCTGGTTTAATTTTTAGATAGGGTGAGATATTTTGGTGTGTTACTTTGCACCTGATGCTTCTGTTCATCGAGCCGTAAATAGGTACCTGGGAATCGAGTTGACTGCTGTGAAAGTTGTATCCTGGGTGAGGTCCGTTGTTTGCTAGGAAATATTAATAAGCCTGACACTGACAATGGGAAACACATGTAGACCTATAATGCACTGGAACCTCGATTCAGTGAACTGCATTTTGGTAAATCTCCAGTTGCAATGCAAACCTTCCATGTCAGATTTACCCCCGATTTAATGAATTTAGTAACGTGCAGATTTGCTTAGGATGTTGGGCTAGAATTCAGACTAATGGCAAAGTTGCAATAATTTACAGATTGAAGTTAAATGCTCTCTCTGTGAAATTAGTCCAGTGTGGGAAATATTAAGACTTGAATGGTAAATTTCTAAATGACTTGATATGTTTTTGATGATTTTCATTGATGGATGCAGCATACAAGAAAGAGTTGGATCCTTGGGAAAACTAATGGAGATCTTTAAAAATGTCTGCACGAGGTTGTGGACTTCCGGTCAACTGCTCCTGCCCTCCTGGTTCCTTTTCTTGGGACAGGGGTAGCTTGGATTCCAATCCTGGTTCCGGCTTTTTTTTGTTCTTTTTTCGGAACGTGTCTTTTTGTTTTCTTGCGGCACACGTCCTGAGTAGTTCTCCTGTATACCTCTGTGACACGTGCCTCGTTCTTCCCTGCTGGAGCTGGTTGCGCTGCTCCTTAGGGTTGCTGGGTCACTGTTTTTTGCTTCACGTCTAGCGTTTTAGTTCGTGGTGCTCAGCCTCTGCCTGGACCCTGGCTCTTCGGTGTTCGGCCTTGAACCTTCCCTCCACCCAGGGTCCTGGGAGGGGGGGGGGTTTTCCTCCCGGACGAAGTGTTTCTGCTCGTCTGGGTTGGTTCCTTTTTGGCTCGCCAGGATTGGGTGCCTGGCTCCCTGGTGGCCGTTCCTTCTGGTTTTTGCCAGCCTTGTTTGGGGGCTCTGTTTTCCTCGGTGGCGATCCTGAGGGGCTTCCCATGGCTCCAGCCTCTTTTTGTGGATCGGTCCAGCCCTGTACGGGGCTGGTTCGTTCTTCCCCTCGAGTCTTCGCGTCTGGGGTTTTTGTCTCGTGTTCTCGTTGCTTGTGGGGGCGCTGGTGGCTTTGTTGTTGGTCTCCCGCCTGTGTGCTTCGTCTCGGCGGCAGTGTGTGGTTTCCTGGCGGTCCTTCTGGTTTTCCTATCACTGCGAAGTGTTCTTTGTTCTCTGATAGGGTTGTCTTGTCTTTCCCTTCGGGGTTGTTCTGGGACCGTCTTCTGGTGACATGTACTGTTGCCTCGTCTTGGGTGGCACTGGCAGAGCCACTCCAGCTTGCATTCAGTGTTGCTGTTCCTTCTGCTCCTTTCCGCTTGCTGTCTTGGGCGTTGTTTCGCCTCCGGCTTGACCTTGCACTTCTCGTACTGTCCTGGTTGTTGGCCTGGGTGGTCTATTTTCTTCTTCTCCTCGGTTGTCATGATCCTTTCGGTTCTGGTGTATTTTTGTTTTTCAGGTCTCCTTCTGTTGGTGTTGACCTCTAGGGGACAGGTCGGGGAGTTTCCGGCTCTCCTCTGGCACCTGTGTTTTTCTGCCTCGTTGGTCTTCGTGGTGGGTTGTTCTTTTGATGCAGTCTCCTTCTTCTCGGGTGTTGTTTGGGTCTGCTGCTTCCTGAGGGGTCCTTGGGTTGCTGCTTGGTTAGTCAGGCCAGGGTGCTTTATTTTGTTGTTCAGTTGCGGCTCTTCACTGTTCTCTGTGCGTCTTGGCCTCTGGGGCTGTGGATGCGTTTTGGTTTGCCCGGATTCCCTTGCTTCCCTCCTTCCTGTTCTGAGGCTCGGGTCTCCAGGGTCATTGGCCAGGTCCTTTCTTTTAGTCTGTGGTCTTGATTTATGTTAGGGCACGTGGCATCTGCCTCCCAGATCCTTCCCTCTTTTCCTTATCTGTGGTGAGGTAGCTACAGGGAGCCGATGAGGCTCCCCCCCAGAAAACCAGCGTTGAATGTAATGAAATGCCATTTTCATCCTTAATGATTTATATATTTCAATAAGATAAAAGATACTGCTGAATTCATCCTTAATGATGTATATATTTCAGTCTCTGCCCTCATGGATTGAAGAGTGTAATCAGCACAGCCTGAGTTACAACATACCAAGAATTCTGGTTGGAAACAAGTGTGACTGTAAAGATCAATTTGCTGTTCCAACTAATGTAGCACAGAGGTTTGCTGACCACCACAGTATGCCGGTAAGAATTGGGAGTTATTGAAATATGGCAGATCATGGTAAGTTAGGTGAAAGCTATATATATAATAATGACACCAAAGGTGAGATGATACCTGCTTGATGGGGTTCTGGGAGTTCTTCTATTCCCCGAGCCCGGCCCCAGGCCAAGCTTGACTTGTGAGAGTTTGGTCCACCAGGCTGTTGCTTGGAGTGGCCCGCAGGCCCACATACTCACCACAGCCCAGTTGGTCTGGCACTCCTTGAAAACTATCTAGTTTTCTCTTGAAGGTGTCCATAGTTGTTCCAGCAATATTTCTTATGCTCACTGGGAGGAAGTTGAACAACTGTGGACCTCTGATGTTTATACAGTGTTTTCTAATTGTGCCTATGGCACCCCTGCTCTTCACTGGTTCTATTTTGCATTTTCTTCCATATCGTTCACTCCAGTACACTGTTATTTTACTGTGCAGATTTGGGACCTGGCCCTCCAGTATTTTCCATGTATATATTATTTTGTGTGTGTCACTCCATGGTCACATTTATCAAATGCCTTTGTAAAGTCCATGTTTACCACATCTGCATTCTGTTTTTCTTCTAATACCTCAGTGATTTTGTCATAATGGTCAAGTAGCTGTGAGAGGCATGATCTTCCTGCTCTAAATCCATGTTAGCCTGGGTTGTGGAAGTCATTGGTTTCCATGAAACTAGTGACCTGACTCCTGATCACTCTCAAGTCCTTTTGTTATGTGGGATGTTAGTGCAACTGGTGTATGATACTTTGCCAATGCTTTGCTCCATCCCTTGTGTAGAGGGGCTATGTCTGCTGCTTTAAGCGCATCTGATATCTTCCCCATATCCAAGCTCTTCCTCCACACTATACTGAGTGTCTGTACTACCGGCACCTTGCATTTCTTTAAAAAAATTTAATTCCGTGAGTCTGGCCCCGGGACTGAGTGCATGGGCATGTTGTCAATTTCCCTTTCAAAATCTGCCACGCACGTGTTGATATCCGTTATATTTACAGGGGTTTGGATATCACGCATAAAGAAGTTGTCCAGATCTTCCACTTTCATGCTGTTTTTTTGGAATGCTAAACATGTCCTCATACTGCTTTTTTAGGATTTCCCTAATTTCTTTGTCATCCACCGTGTATGAACCTTCACTGTACGAATAGGTTCAATACTGGCAGTGGTTTTTGCTTTTGATTTTGCATATGTGAAGAAAATTTTGGGTTTTTCTTTATTTCTTGAATTGCTTTCTGTTCTAGTTGCCTTTCTTCAATCTGATATGAATGCTTCAGTCTCTGTTCGAGTTCTTCAATTTCCCTGTTTAAATTATTCCTTCTTTGTATGGAGAGTTGTGTCTGCTTAAGGATTTCCATTATGTCTTCTTTTCTTTTGTAAAGTCGTCTGGGTTGTCTTTCTACAGTGGACCTCTTTCTGGCTTTCCTCAAAGGAACATGTTTCAGACAGACTTCATATGCTTCAGGTTAGTTTTTCTATTGTGTAGGATTTTTATTACTTACAGTTTCCCATGAAATGTTTCCCATGCAACAGATGGAAAAATAGTTTATAAAGTATGGAATATTCAAAACCCTTACAAAAAAATGCACATTTATGTACTGAATAATCTCCTGTACAGTATTCGGATGCGTTGAGCACATGTGGCAAAAAAAGCCACTTTTAAGTTGGCCCAACCATTTTTTCACATACAGATTCTGTGAGCAGTGTCTTCGGCTTTAATTTTAAATATGAAAAAATTACTTTTGACCTTGCCACACACCAGACCACACACACTAATGGATGAAAAATTTTCTGACTGATAGAAAAATGAGGGCAGTAATCAGAGGCAATGTATCGGAATGGAGAAATGTCACAAGTGGAGTACCACAGGGTTCAGTTCTTGCACCAGTGATGTTTATTGTGTACATAAATGATCTACCAGTTGGTATACAGAATTATATGAACATGTTTGCTGATGATGCTAAGATAATAGGAAGGATAAGGAATTTAGATGACTGTCATGCCCTTCAAGAAGACCTGGACAAAATAAGTATATGGAGCACCACTTGGCAAATGGAATTTAATGTTAATAAATGTCATGTTATGGAATGTGGAATAGGAGAACATAGACCCCACACAACCTATATATTATGTGAGAAATCTTTAAAGAATTCTGATAAAGAAAGAGATCTAGGAGTGGTTCTAGATAGAAAACTATCACCTGAGGACCACATAAAGAATATTGTGCAAAGAGCCTATGCTATGCTTTCTAACTTCAGAATTGCATTTAAATACATGGATGGCGATATACTAAGAAGTTGTTCATGACTTTTGTTAGGCCAAAGCTAGAATATGCAGCTGTTGTGTGGTGCCCATATCTTAAGAAGCACATCAACAAACTGGAAAAGGTGCAAAGACATGCTACTAAGTGGCTCCCAGAACTGAAGGGCAAGAGCTATGAGGAGAGGTTAGAAGCATTAAATATGCCAAAACTAGAAGACAGAAGAAAAAGAGGTGATATGATCACTACATACAAAATAGTAACAGGAATTGATAAAATCGACAGGGAAGACTTCCTGAGACCTGGAATTTCAAGAACAAGAGGTCATAGATTTAAACTAGCTAAACACAGATGCCGAAGAAATATAAGAAAATTCACCTTCGCAAATAGAGTGGTAGACGGTTGGAACAAGTTAAGTGAGAAGGTGGTGGAGGCCAAGACCGTCAGTAGTTTCAAAGCGTTATATGACAAAGAGTGCTGGGAAGACGGGACACCACGAGCGTAGCTCTCATCCTGTAACTACACTTAGGTAATTACACTAGAAGGTGAAGGGACGACGACTTTTCGGTCCATCCTGGACCATTCTCAAGTCGATGGCCAAAATTGCATCTAGTGTAATTACCAAAGTGTAGTTACAGAATGAGAGCTACACTTGTGGTGTCCCGTCTTCCCAGCACTCTGTCATATAACGCTTTGAAACTACTGACGGTTTTGGCCTCCACCACCTTCTCGCCTAACTTGTTCCTACCGTCTACCACTGTTTTAAAAAATGAATATTCTTATATTTCTTCAGCAGCTTTGTTTAGCTAGTTTAAATCTATGATCTCTTGTTCTTGAAGTTCCAGGTCTCTGGAAATCTTCCCTATCAATTTTATCAATTCCTGTTACTATTTTGTACGTAGTGATCATATCTCTTCTTTTTCTTCTATCTTCTAGTTTTGGCATTTTAATGCCTCTAACCTCTCATCGTAGCTCTTGCCCTTCAGTTCTGGGAGCCACTTAGTAGCATGTGTTTGCACCTTTTCCATTGTGTTCATGTGCTTCTTAAGATATGGGCACCATAAAACCCCTGCATATAATAGCTTTGGCCTAACAAAAGTTGTGAACAATTTCTTTAGTATTTCATCATCCATGTATTTAAAAGCAATTCTCAAGTTAGAAAGGGTGGCATAGGCTCCTCGCAAAACGTTCTTTATGTGGTCCTCGGGTGATAGTTTTTTTATCTAGAACCACCCCTAGATCTCTTTCTTTATCAGAAGTCTTTAAAGATTCTCCACATAATTTATAGGTTGTGTATACTTCATCGTATATTTTGCAAAATATGGCATATATCTCATTCACTTCCTTGCCTAGCAACAAGTCTGTCCAATTATACCTATGAACAAATTTCTAAGTTCTCCATAGCATCCTCTCTTGAAATCGAGTTTAACAACTGTTTCAATTATCCCCATTCAATTATCCTAGATTATACCGCAAAGTGTATTTAATATCCAAGAGGACGTGATCACTCTTTCCCAAGGAAGGAAGATACTTGATGTCAAATACCTCCTCTTCTTTCCTGGTGAATATTAGATCCAGTACTGATGGAACATCCCCTTCCCTCATTCTTGTGGCAGTGTGGGGGGGGGGGGGGGGTGCACTACCACAGCACCAACTAAATAAATTAAAAAATATATAAATATATATCTACTATAAAAGTACATGTATAAATAAATCTGGTCACCTATCTGTTTATTTAGCTTTAATTTCAACATTTACATGTCACTGAATCTGATATGAAAGTTTTAGCCAAAGAAATTACAATGAGGATATCAGTTTTCTGTTATACTATCAAGATATACAAACTAAATATTTTCATTTTTTTTTTTTTTTGCCAGATTTTACAGTAAGATCAGTTTGAGTGTGGAAACAGTAAAAGAATGTATCAAATCTTTGTGGCAAGCATAATTATATAAGTGATTTCAGAGCAGAAATGTACAAAAGATTTTCTCAACAATTATGGCTTGAACTGTCAATCTTTTTGTAATTGCATTGTTGTCATTACATGCCCAAGGATATTAGGTACTGACTCCCAAGAGTATTTAGGTAATCTAACTAAGCACTGATACATCTTCTTCCAGTTATAAAAAAAAACTGTGCTTTGCCTTCCCTTCATATCTGAACTTTAAAAAATCTCGCTTGTCATCTTGATATACAATTTGCCTTTCAAGAAACTTAATACACTTTGTAGTAATCTGGTTTGCACTGCTCCTGCTTCCAGTGTTGTAGGTGTTTATTCAGATTCCTGGTGTTCTCCTCTCTAGTACCTTGGTAAAACTGACCCCCCCCCCCCTCCAAAAAAAAAAGTGCTAAACATGCTGACAAACAATTGTCACATCACAGTCATGGAATAGCTTGACTATATTTCAAAATAATCTTTCTTGCTGTTGACTCTTGAATTTCTCGGTACACACTTGAAGGCTTTAATCATCTTAGCAAGCATCATCTGATTTGGCTCTGTGCTCTCTTATCTTTTCTCTTCCTATCTGTTTTGGATATCTCATTTCTCCTTGTTTCTGGTTGTCTTTGCATAGGCAGCTGCCTCATACGGATCAATAGAACTTTGGCAGTTATGTTTGCCCAGTTTCTTGTTTTACTTTACTTGTTCCTTACCTCAGCTTCCCTCTTGCCTTATAATGGCTACCTCTCCCGCTCTTGCTCAGTTACCAACTTGATAAAGGATCAAGATGGATCAAAATGTTCTTTCATTCCATGTGTGGAGATTGGGTTATTTGTGTTCAGGCTCGTTATTGTAACATTCTCTGCATTTGTTGCCCTCTTATATATTTTCCTTTACAAGCATCTTAATTGTTGGTTTCTTGATAACACTAAATAATATTAATAATATTAATTTCCAGTATTTATAAATTGGGACTAATTCTTTTTTTAGTTACTGAAACTGAACCATGTATATAAGAGGGTTATGGGCACGAGTTAATTTTTTTATTTTAATATTTTCAGCTTTTTGAAACGTCGGCTAAGGATGACAGCGACTGTTATCATATAGATGCCATCTTCATGACACTTGCTCACAAACTGAAAGCTTCCAAACCAATGATGCCCATCAGTCCCACTCAGTTCCCTGTGGAAGACATCCACAGAGCACAAGTTACGTCTATTGGTAGAGAGCGTAATGGTGTTGCAGTTAATGATTCTAGTTCATGCTTTTGTTGATATACTGCATATTACTCTTAATTATTTGAACTTGGTTCACTCATCAGAAGTGTTAATACTTTTGTTTAAGTAGAAATTTGTACTCTTCCCATGTTACTCAGTACTAAACATGGATAATTTTTTTTTATGATGAATTGGCTCATGGACAGTTGAAGTACAATTATATGTAATTAAATTTATACACCAGTTTTGTTGTGTGTAATGTTCCGTGATCTAAAGATGATAATTTATGTAACAATGTTTTATTCACTAGGATCATCGGATTCTAACTCGGGCCAGAAAAATTAGAGATCCTAGGGAATGAAATGTTATTGCCCATGATTGTGTGAATTGCATGTTATTTGTATGGGTTTTGTCTAGGTTACATACAGTGAGTTCCTGCTTATTTGCTTTGGGTATTGGTAGTCATAGGACCATTTTAAGTTAATGGTAAGATGGGGCTGTAAGGGTAAGAGCTTAAATAGGATTTTAAAAGTCATAATGTGTGTGTGTTTTTGTACTTGACATTTTCTTGTTTCTCGTTACAAGGAAATAGCAAATGTTAATTTTGTGATAAACTAACAAATGTCATTACTAAGTAATGACTGGCAAGATGATGGAAAAAAAAAAAGTGTAGCACAGTGAATCTTTATTGATCAGTGTTTAGGCAATGAATTTGTTTGAGTCGTCAATGAATTCTCTTGAATCATTGGGAAGTAAATGCTTGCATTAAGTTTCTATACTTGCCTATTTAGAATCAATCTACCAAAAAAAACTTGTTTTAATTACAGTACCAGATTAGCCCAGTGGATATTGTCAGAAGTAAAAAATTTGTATCTCATATTGGTTGACTTAATGGTAATTTTTTTTTTAATTTCCAGATGGATAAGTATATAGGCTTATTACATAATAAAGACCAGATATGTGGCTAGTGTTTCCCCAATTATTGTAATAAGAGGGTTACACAAGGCATATCGTCATTGCCAGGACTAGAATAGTATTACACATTTTATTAAGGCTATATTATTTTTGGTAACTTATAATTGGTAAAATGACATCTGCCAACGCCTTAATTCAAACAGTTTACTTGCTGTGATTGCCAGTCCTCACACAGATTCCGTAAAGTGTGGATTTATCATTTTTACATTTAGTATTTGACTGGCGTTTTATAGTCCATCATTACACGATAGCTTTAAAGCCCGAATCTGAGGAAGTGTCTCTTATCATTCCCATATTTTTATATACCGGTAATGAATTTTATGTTTGTACATATTGTCCTCTCTTCCATATATAATTGTAATATATTCTGCATTGTGTGAACAATGTACATTTACTTTGTAGATTGTAATTGATATATTACTTGCATGAGTTTATAACAAATGTGTTCGAGGTGTCCTGTAAAAAGTTGAAGTACCGTACCTATAACAGCTGCGGACGCAAGTACAGAATCTAAACTTATGGCTTAAATAATCTTGTACCAAGAATTTCGTAAAGAACCCCAAGAAAGAAGTTGACAAACACAAATGTCCAAGAAAAGATGTATATATTAGGGCTGGGACAAGTTAGATCTAACTTGTCCCAGCCCTAATATACATCTTTTCTTGGACATTTGTTAGTCAACTACTTTCTTGGTACAACAAGATTATTTAGGCCATAAATTCAGATTAACTGTGGACTCAAGTCCACAGCTGTTATAGGTATGGTACTTCAACTTTTTACAAGACGGATTCACTTAATGTCACCACCTTGAACATATGTTAGAAATTCTTGCAACTTAAGAGACGGGGAAGTAATGAAAATAAAGAATTTAAATAAGATTTTATTGAACGTTAACTTATTACTAACTTCCTTAGTACCTGGTGCTTAATTTACTCTTGTGTGCCAACGTTTATTTGTTATTGTAGTCAACTCTTGCTGCAATGTGTGAAGAGTCTTTCAACTCTTTACATCATATGAGTGAAATCAAACACTGACTGTTCATCATCTTTAACAGATGTAAGCCAGTTAACCAACATAGCTGGACACCCAGCAAGGCTTAACAATCTTGCAGATGCTGCAGCTAAACAAACAGCTGAACCTGCATGTCCCAGAAGCCAATTCCCTACTTAGGGTAGAAATCAGTCATTCATCGACTGATTTCTACCCAAAGTAGGGACATGCAGGTACAGCTTTTTTTTTTTTTTAGCTGCAAGATCATTTTCCAACATAGCTGGATACCCAGCAAGGCTTAACTGCCTTACATCTGCTAAAGATGAGGAACAGTCAGTGTTTGATTTCAATCACATGAGTTGAAAGACTTCACACATTGCAGTGAGAGTTAACTACAATAACAAATAAACGTTGGCACACAAAGAGGAGCAGAAAAACTTGCATAAAGCTCTGCTGTGAAAAATGCTCATCTATGGGGATGAGTAGCACAAAAAATGTCAACAGCAGATATTGATATGTGAACCATAGTAATTTGTGAATTGCAGTGAACATGTTCAAGGCATTTCATACTATACAGGGTATAAGTAAGTGTGTATCAAAAGAAAGCACCAAGCCGGGAAGGCTATGGAGCACCATCAAATGTGCAGAATAATCATAGGGCACTAAATATCACTAAGGATGCCAATATGAGAACACAAACACATAAGGGGAACAATATCAAAGGTATCCGATTCACTAAGAAGTCCATCGAGGAACAGTTGGGAAGCAAGACATGTCTGGAAGTCCGGTCATTCAACAAGGATATGCATGACCGTAAGAGGAACAATGCAGTTTGGAAAATAAGGAGCAGGGTGGCACTCCAATAAGTACCCATGAGTTAAGCATGTATGGTCAATATGCAACCTCGCCAGAGCCGTTTCCCACAGACTGTTATGGTGGTAGGAGGAAGACCATGGGGACACACTGCCCGTAAGAGCACACAGTTTGTTACCAGTAACAGAAGACCAATAGCTCTGCCAATGGGCAAGGACGGAGGAATGAATAACTAGGGTAAAAGTCTGAATAAGGAATACCTTTATGGGAGTTATGGGAGATGCGACAAGTGTGGATAACTTCCTTAGCGGCAATATCCGCACGCTGATTTAAAGAGACACCAATATGGCTGGGAACCCAGCAAAACTTCACGGTCTTAAATCTACTGGAGATAAGAAACAGCCAATATTGAATCTCGACTACCACCAGATGGACTGGATTAAAGGACTCCAGAGCCATGAGGGCACTGCAAGAGTCAACTACAACAAAGTACGATTGACAGTGAGAAAGCAGTTGAAGAAGAGCATAGAGAACAGCATAAAGTTCTGCCGTGAAGATGCTAGTCTCCAGAGGCAGGTGACACATATAGGTGTGGCCAGGAAAAACAACAGAGTATTGTACACTGTCTGCAGACTCGAACCCATCAGTGAAGACTGAAATGGAGCGGGAGTGTGAAGAAAAGTGTTCTAGGAAAAGGTGCTTCAGAACTAGGTGTAAAAGCCTTAATTACATGGAGGTCAGGGTTTTACAAAATTTAGGAAGGGGGACTCTCCATGGGGGCAAGGATGGAACAACGCGAGGAGAAATATTGGTAACACGAGTTGAAAGAGAATTTTGTAGGCGAAACAACCGGACAGAAAGAGGGAGGTGGTGAAGGGGAACAGGGACCACAGGAGGGGCAAAATTCAAAGCACGACATAGGCGAGAGTGAGGATGTTGTAAAGACCATGCAAGGTAGTGATCACAGCGGTCCTGGAGAGACAGGACGCCGGTTTCAACATACAGGCTAAGGGTAGGAGTCGAACGAAAGGCACCAGAGCTGAGGTGTAACCCAGTATGGTTCAGAGCATCAAGACGGTGAAGAGTAGAAGGAGAAGCAGACAAGTAAGCAGGGCAACCATAATCGAGTTTAGACAGTATGAGAGAGGAATGTACAGAAAGGAGCGTGCGCCTATCCGCTCCCCAAGAAGTATGGAACAAGACCCCCAAGTAGGTTAAGGGCCTTAGAGCATTCAACTCCGAGGCAAGTGATATGGGGTGACCAAGACAAACAAGTGTCAAAGATTAACCCCAAAAGCTTAACGGAATCTTTGTACATAATTGTTTAGGTTGTGGAGGGGGAGCATACGTCAGCATGAGCTCCGCGAAAAACAATATATATCTAGGGATATTTCAGCAATACAGGAACTAAATATAGTCAGATATCTCAAAGTGTGTCTCAACATATTAAACAATAAACATTAGTCATTGCCATCCGATTTTTGTGTTTTAAGGAAATAACAAGTGAATTTTATGTGGAGTCAACCTCGTGGTGCCAGAGCTCATCCCATAGACCCACGTCCCGTGTGCCCATTGTGTGTGCGTGCTTACTAGCAATTGGTTTCCAACAAGTGTAATAGGGGAATGTGGATTTAAACATTAGTAAGAAAGTGAATACCATTGCAAGTCGGAAATAAAGACAGAAAATCCCTTACGTTATAGGGCAACTGCCCTATAACAATCAGCACTGGTCAGAACAAACTCAATATGTCCAAGCATAATGAGCTTGCCAAAAAAGTCTCCCAGTCTAACTACTGTATCCCTAATAGAGTAACCTCATTCATCTTTGCCAACATACAAGGACTAAAAACAAGAACAAGCAACAGAGTACAGTTCATAAATGGCCTCCTCACGGAGTCAAATGCAGTATTTGGAGCTTTCACAGAAACCCACGCAGGGGGAATTCTTGGACAGTGAGATCTGGATTCCAGGATATAACCTATACAGGTGTGATAAGATAATTAGGTCACATGGAGGAGTGGGTCTGTATATTAGGGAAAGACCTTGTATCCTCAGAGCTCCTTAACATTACAAATGAGGTGGTAGAGGTACTGGGAGTAAAAATAGAGAAACTTAGTGATTATTCTAATATACAAACCACCAGATGCAATGGCTGAGGAATTCAGAGAACAGATAAACAAAATAGAGAATAGCCTTGATAATTTGGAGAACCCGATACCTGATATTATCTTCCTAGGTGACTTCAACTTGCCTCGTCTCAATGGGAGAATAGCAAACAATATACCAGGAAATTTATCGGGATCTAACTAACCACAGATTAGAGAACTACTTAGATTCTGTGACAAATTTTCACTCAACCAGCAGATATCAGAGCCAACGAGAAATGAAAATACAATACTGTACAGTATTCTAGATCTGGTCTTTACGAACAATGAAGACATTATCAGGGACATTATGATATCAGATACCACATACTCAGATCACAAGCTCATTGAAGTGCAAACGACCATCAATATTCAGAATAGACCTAAAACGTTGGTCAAGCGAGAGGGGCTATTCAGTAAATCCAATTTTAATAATAAAAGGATAGACTGGGAGAAAATAAACAGGAAACTTACAAACATTCCATGGGAAACTGTTCTAAGTAATACAAGTCTTACAGAAGGAATTGAAAAACTGACTTCGGAAGCGTATCAAGTCTGTCTGAAACATGTTCCTTTGAGGAAAGCCGGAAAGAGATCCAACATAGAAAGAGAATGCAGATGACACTATAAAAGAAAGAAAAAATAACGGAAATGCTTAAGCAGACACGACTTTCCTGTCAAAGACAGAATAATTTAAATGATGAGATTGAAGAAATCGAACAGAAATTGAAACACTCATATCAAACTGAAGAAAGGCAGTTAGAACAAAAAGCAATTCAGGAAATAAAGAAAAATCCAAAATACTTCTTCACATATGCAAAATCAAAAGCAAAAACCACTGCCAGTATTGGACCTATTCGTACAAGTGAAGGTTCATACACGGAGGATGACAAAGAAATTAGTGAAATCCTAAAAAAGCAGTACGAGGACATGTTTAGCACGCCAATAAACAACTTGAAAGTGGAAGATCCAGACAATTTCTTTATGCGGGATATCCAAACCCCTGTAAATATAAGTGATATCAACACGAGCGTACTAGACTTTGAAAGAGAAATTGAAAACATGCCCATGCACTCGGCTCCGGGTCCAGATTCGTGGAATTCGATGTTTATAAAGAAATGCAAAGTGTCAGTAGCACACGCACACTATACAGTGTGGAGGAAGAGCTTGGACACGAGGGAGATACTAGATGTACTTAAAGTAGCAGACATAGCCCCTCTACATAAGGGAGTCATATCAGATCTCTGCTTGTGACCCACCTGAGCTGTGTTCCAATCTTCAGCCGCCCTCGAGTAAGTGGATGTGGAAATGCTTGACGAATCTTAGCCTAGTACTTTCGTGATCTCTTATTTAGATATACAACAAAGAGTTCTTACATTCTTGTAAAGCCACTAGCATGCATAGCGTTTCGGGAAGGTCCTTAATCCTAATTGTTCCCGGAATACGACCCGCCAAATCGTTTAACAACCAGGTACCCATTCACTGCTGGGTGAACAGAGGCTACAGTTAAGGATTGGTGCCCAGTCAATCTTTCCCGACCAGGCTACGAACCCAGGCAAAAGCACTCACAAAGCACTGGCGAGTGCTTTACCACTGCTCCATGGAGACTGCTTAACTGCTTATTGCGGGAAATTATTAAATACAGGGACTGCTTAATTTACAGGGTGTAGGCAGTTTTCTTCATGCAAGAGACAATTGAAAAGATGCACATGGGAGCAACAGATGAAAAAGCTCAGAAACAGCACGTCCCTTTGAACAGCTGTCATCTGGTGATGGATAGTGTTAGGATTGCTTGTTTAGGAGTTATCAGCTTTGTTTTGATAGTTCAGCACTTTCTAAAGTATTTCTTGGCAAGAATTTAAGGTTCTTGTGGTTTCCTTTCATTGCATTTAGGCTGATTGGCTTTAGTATTGGTTTTATCTGCGATCCCC